TACCGGCAGGATGTGCGATATCTCGAGCGGTTCCATTAGCAGTGTTTGCGACGGATTTTGCGCATCGGTTGGGGCGCCAGTGTTGCAGACACGGACGTGTTGCGCCGAAGTGGGATGTATGCAGTGGACTGCATACTTTTATTGAGACATCTGAGATGGCTCGGTCATGTGAGCCGTATGGATTCGACGCGGATACCGAAACAACTCTTATACGGTCAGCTGAGTATTGGGAAGCGGCACGTGGGGAAACCAAAGTTACCTTACCAGGACATGATCAAAGTGAGCCTCACAAGTTCTAATCTTGATTGCAGATCATGGGAATCGAAGGCGGTTGATCGGCGTGCATGGCGCGATCTGATCACGAACGCAGTTACCGAGGTGCAGGAGAAAGTCCTAATGCATGCAGAGAAGAAGCGGCAAATGCGGAAGCGGCAAGCACAGATGGGTTGTTCTCCATCAACATCAAGCGCATGGTGCTATAGAACATGCGGTCGCGGGTGCCTTAGCCAGACAGGCTTAGTGAGCCATGAGCGAGGCCACTCCGGACTACTACCGAAGCGACGATGGGTCATGCAGAGAACGTAGGCAGAACCAGCGCAGCGTTTGTAGATACGCTGCATTCGATTTACTAACCGCGTGCTTGGATGCTAAGTCTCTTTATTTCAGGTGGTGGGTTTCCAATTTTGCCTTAATGCTTTTCTTTCTCATATAAATGTCAACGTGTACTCTATTCCATTAACTTGCACACCAGGCTTAAGCCAATTGTATTCGATTTCCATAACATTTTTGTGTTCGTGGCATTTCCGTATAGTATACTTTCTCACCTCATGAACTTACCTAGGATTGGTTTGCAAACAACTTATTTCATATGCTCATTAACAAGATTTATGCCAACGTTTCCTTTTGCATTAATCGAGTTATTTTCTTTGTATCTTTCTCGCAAGTAATTGGCTGTAGTTGGATATCTCCGGCGTGGCTGCGCTTGATGTGCATGTTGACAAGGTGCCTACCTGTCTACTACCCACTACCTCGTCCATACTGGCTCCAGGAGACAGTTGGTCGTTGCTGGAGGGGACGGGGTGCACGGTCCTTGTGGTCGTGCTGGGCTCGAAGAGTGGTTCCATGCACTCAGTGTGGAGCGGACCACGGTCCAGCCACCGTCTTGTGTGTGCTTGATTCCCAAATACAGTGTGCTTGTGTTTGCTGTGAAGGGGTGTGGGCCGGCTCCGTTGATGAAACGTGGCTCCCATCCGCATGCCTCCCCGTCTTATTCCTTCGGATTTACACTGGATATGGGGTGTGTGGTTGGAGCTGTGGGTGGTACAGCGCAAGCCACCTATGGTCCCTCTGTAGGCGCAGGCGTCCTGTGGCTTGCCACAGTGACAGGCAAATCCGAAACCGGATGCCGCCAACCATATATAAAAATTCCAATACAAAATATGATATTAAATATTTGATTATGCCTTTTGGATGAGATCGGGATTAGAGGGGGAAACTAAAGGAAGGGGATGGAGAAAGGAACTCACAACACAAACGTCATTGGGGCCGGGTCTTGGCGATATCAGCAAGTTTGTCCAACCAAACGTGTTCATCGTCTTTTGGTCCGGCACCAGGGAGCCGAGGGGCTTAAACTGAGGCCAACTCCGAACAATGACTTTCATTCCTCTTGACGATGTCATCGTTTGATCCCCCCTCCTCTTCTTCCATCGACACCCCCGGCGTGCAAATAACGCCCGTCGCGTGAGTCTGTGTGTTGGCATGCGCAATATGCGAACCAGCCATCGTGAAGTAACGGTGCTGAGCAGTTCACTTGCTTTTCCTGTGCCATAAACAGCCTGTCGAACACGCTGATTGCTCACAAGGTGTTCCCACCAAATATGAGCCAATTGAGTAACAAACACTCTGCTGATCGAGTTCTTGTCACCCAAAAAATACTCAATCAGCGGTGTAGTTTGTTTTGTTGCTGTCAGAAATCAGTCACCGAGTGGACGCCGGATGCAAGTATATGACAGATAGGCGTTAGCTGAGCACTCGCTGAGTTGAAGTAAAATCTGTGATAACTTCTATGGGGAGCGACAAATAAATTCGGGAAAAGGCCCTGAGTACATCGGCATGGAGCAAACCGGAAGAAAACTAACTGAATAAACGGTGCACGGTGGAGCTCAGATGATCAATAGTAACTCTAGAGCTGAAATGAAGCTGTTAGATGAATTAGTCTCTGAGCTTGGCAATTATTTTGCAAACATTTCATCATCAGTCGAGGTGACATCATCAGTGTATCAGTGCGTAATGCAGTGTAGTATGGCGTTGCGTTGGTAAGAGTGAACCAATTAGTCGCGCGCGTGCGTTTTTATAGGTCCTCGTCATCGGCCGTTTGGGTATGTAACCTTTGAAAATGGCTTCGACCTGTGCGTCGCGACCATGGCCGGTTTGTCTCCGCTGCTGAGAATGTTGCCTGAGCTGTTCGTACGGTGTCCTTTTCCAATAAGGTTATTCGACTGCGGTGGTGGTCCTTTGCTCGTAGATGGCGTATACTTCAATGTGTCGATTGATCGAATTCTTCATGGAGTACCATACTTCTAAGAATTTTCTTACCTGCTTCGTATCTTGACGTGTTCCAGGTCAACAAGATGACCAGCTTCATCCTCGTGTGTCGAAATCAATGAATAGGGATCGTTCCTCCTTATGCTTTGAGATTGGAGTGGAAATCCTTCTTCCCGTTTGTTCGATGCAGTCTTGCTCATATTCGCTGCAGTTTATCCTCCAGATTACACGTGTTTGATTTTGTCCTTCGGTCTTGAAAACAGCTCTCTCAGTGTAGCACATTGTCTAGGTGCTATAGTGACTTTGTGTCGATGAAGTAATCGTGCTGTTAGTACAGAAATGCGCTTGATGTAGGAAAGCTCTATGCGTTTATCTACCTGTTATGGTCGTTGCAGCAGTAGTACCCTCTCCATGCTTCTAGTAAAATTGCTTGGATACCCGTTGTTTTGTAACGCTCAATATAGGTGGTTCTTCTCCTTCTTTCTCAATTCCATTGTGCTGCTGTTTGTTTCCACTCTCTTGATAGTGTCTGGATACAGGTCATTTTTGTGGTTCATCGGGTGCTTACTGTGATAGTTCACTATTCGATGCGTGTGTCTTCTTCCGATATACACAAGTTTGAAGCATTCCGTCAGTGTTCCTGTGAACTGAAACATCCAGAAATGGCAACCTGTTGTCTTCATCCAAATCAGTGTTGAACTTGATGTCTCCAGTCATTTTATTAGGACAAAGGTATCGTCAAAGTATCCGGTCCAAAGCTTTGGGTTGAGCAGTGACATGTTAATGCGCCCCAATTTCGGAATAACGGCGTCCGCAATGAGCCCTGATTTGGGTGAACCCATGGGCGTTCCTTTCAGTTGTTGGTATATTTGTCCATGAAAGGAGGATAAGTGGCCAGGCATAGGTAGCCAACAGTTCTCACACACATTCCGTTTTTATGTTTCCTGGTACGCGCTCGATTGATTCCGGAGTACTTTCATCATGGCCTCCTTGGCAATTACGTGGTTCATCGATACAAAGAGAGCTGTGACATCGAATGACAGCATAATTTCATCATCCTCTATCTTGACATCCCGCAGGTTAAATAAATAAAGAACTAAATGCTTTATTCCCAGCAGTGTGGGGCACGCCCGTGAAGGCATGATCATCAATTGTTGAGCATTGTTTATGCTTTGCTCAGATCTGACAATCAGGCTGCACCAGCAGCCATGGTGGAACATGCGATTAAAAACGGAAAAGCAGATACACCGGTAACATGCACTGATGCTTCACTTCCGAGCAACCACAGATAGTCGTGCGCGGACTGGGATGCTCCAATGGCACCCAAGGCCCTACAAAAAATAGGATTAGAAGCAGGAACACGAAGTTTGCAAGCCATTGAGAAAGATGTAAGAGAGTGGAAGCGCTCAACGCCTAAGTGTAAGAGCAAGAATGCATTCGCGACTGGAACAAGTCGAATGGAGTCTTCAGTCTCCGAAACGCAGACGTCATTTCTGAGGAGATTCGTCGCAGTTAGGCTCAGCCAGATAGCCACGACATATCCAGGAAAGCGTTAGATGGCCATTTCATCTTACTGAAGCACGTTAGTAGCGCGCATCCACCGTATCATGCCGGATCTGAAACCATGATCATGGGTGGCCGACGGCACAGTGGCATAGGTCGATGATTCGTGAGAGCGAGGTCATGGATTCGGATTCGGCGGATGTGCGCTACTGACGAGTCTCAACAGAACGAAACGACCGTCTAGTGCTTTCGTGAATGTGTGATGGCTACCTAAAGCAGTCTAGCTGCGATTAATGTGCTTAAAATGAATAAATCCACATACTGCTCTCTAAGAGACGACATTGTTCGGGAACTAAGAGTGAGCCACCGCGCTTCTGCATATAAAGTCGATCCTTCGGGGCTTTTTGCTACTCTGTCGAGTGCAGTGCATTGGCTGCGTAATGAGTACAGCTTCGACGTATCTTCGAAATTCGTTAAATAACTGAGCAGTGGGGCACAACTAACCCGAATCCGTGATGTGTCATATTATTCGCGGCCTGGTCATAACACGACACGTGACTCACGCAAAAGCACAAGCATAGTAGAGAGATAGTTTGAAGAATCAAGGATTGACGTATCAATGTGATCCTGACAAACTTATTAATCACTATCAACGATACTTAACAATGGCGGCTGATAGGGGGAATTACGTAATGTGATATGTAAAAGAGACGGAGCATTCGTCAAAAGCAGATAATGCATTGCAAAAAGTTTGGTACAAAAATGTTCGTCATCAGGACGCTGTGAGAAACTTCACTACACACAGCATATAGGATACACATGTTGCCACCCATGTGGTTACGCAATTCAAACCGAAGAGGGCCGCGTTGTGCGATGCATGGTATACGCAAAGGTTCTGCAAGGCAATAAGTGGACATACAGGGCTTGTGGCAAACAGAGAGATAGTGACTAACTTCTCATGCGCGCGGAATTCGTTAGTCAACTCCACTTCGGATTCCTCATCCACTGTCGCGTGTCGTATGCTTCGGAGCAATTTGACGGAGAACAATGCCTACGGGAGGGAACAAAGACAGAAATTAGGAAGTCTTCCCTTAAAAAGTAAAGCAAACATAACTCCGTAGATATCGGAATGTCAAAACACGCACAGCACGCGTAGTACACTCCATTTACTGGATCGGAAATAGATGAGTATGAATGGAAAAGGACTGTGTACGAGGAATGAGTGTTAGAATACCATAAAAACAGCAGGGCTGATACATCTATGGACTATAGTAAAAGCCAAACAGAACCAAGAGTAGGTCCACAACAAAGGTCAAGCGGGTCCAGAATCCACTGCTATTTGCAGCGAAGTGTTAGTATGACCGAATAAAGTAGTGCACAGAAGGTAGCATGATAATGCACATGCATCAAAGAAGTGATGGGATGTGTCACATCTAAGGCTGACTAAACAATTTCAGGCGGGAGGCAGCGCTTTACAGAAAAGTAATTTAGCAACGGGATGAGAACTGGGGGTCTGTGTGAGAACAAGAGTAGACAGGCAAATTGTAAGCAGAAAGGATAGATAAACATACAGGGTACGCGTATGGTTACTGAAGAAACCCGAGAAGCATTTGAACACTGTGCCAATGAATTGTTCACAGCAAGGTAAAGTGGCAAGAGCAACAAATCGGTGTCAGACAAGAATCCGGAAGAATAATGGAGCAATGTGTGGAAGAAAGTGCGTTCGAACGCAAAAACCACCTTGTTGCATTAACCGAAGAGTTCGGATGACATCTGTACCACGCGTGACACCTGGTAGCCATCCGACAAAATGGGGGTTTGGATGCGGTTGGAACAAGCCACTTTGGACCAGCAGCTCACAGGACCGCTCCACGCGAGTGCTATTTATGAAGGTGATATGAAACAAAACTAGGGACATACAGGTCATTGTGAACCCAGACCCAAAAGTGACTTCCCAATAAACAATGTATCTACAATTCAAGACACCGGCTGCGACCACGATGTCCTTACTATTAGAGATAGCCAAAGAAATCGTTTCGAAGTCCTTTGAAGGACAACTAATGAAACAGTGAGAGAAAATTGTGCCTAAAAAGTAGTCAAGTATTCCTGAAGTTGAAGTCCGCCAACATGGTTATTCAGAAATGTCCGGAAAGATTATCTCTGGTACTTGCACTGAGTACAACATCAACCTCGAAATGGTCACAAACTTTGAAACGGTGTCATCGCAGTAAGATGGTCGGGTAGCGCATGTTAGTGTGATAAAGGCACTTTACAACTATGTCCCAAGAATGCAGGGAGAAAGTAAGACACCTGTCCAGCGATCTAACATAGGGTTCAACAATTAAAGGCCCAAAGTATAAGGGGGTTCGTGATCCACAAAACAGTTTAGGTAAGTCTTTCCAAAAGTCGCAAGGTTTGGATTACCGTTTGACGAAGAAGCATACAGTGGATGAAAACCAGAAAAAGAGGAGAAAGAACGCTAGCGACACAAAGTTGCAAAAGTCTCTGGTTGTTCATTCCGAGGCAGAACGTAGGCTCTAAGGTGAACACAGATGACTTGCTTAGTTGATCATCCAACCAGTTGAAAACGGATGCACATACAAAATGAAGCCATAGTGTTCGACAAGATTTGCTTGGGGTAGGCAGCGCGAACAGTTTACACACACTTTCTGACAGCAAAGGATGAAATAACTAAATGATGATGAACCGAACGTTTACACATTAATGGTCAGGGAAGGGCTGGCTTGCAGTGAATGGTGGTAAACCACTGATCAACAACTGTGCCATCCGGCGGTAAAATACGGCTTGTTGCCTGCGTGTTCTGCGCTAGTCGAGCAAAGTTTACAACTGGTAAATGATTAGGCCAGATGGCTACACTTTAGAAGAAGAAAGACATTCCGGACTATCCACACCTTCGAGGAGAAAATGCTAAGAATGAATTTTCCTGAGCCACTTGTGAGCTAAGAGGGGTTCTGACGGCGCGCAAACCACGGACCACGCTACCAAGTCATGTCATGATGGGCCATTATCGATACTTAGCGCAGGGGTGCATCAAACTGGATAGTATTCAGATGCACAAGATGGCAGCATACCAAGATGCGGTGCTAGAAAACGAATGGGGATTACAGAGCTCCCCAACTGATGCCACCGCCGACTGTGTAAGATGGGCAACTGAATTTAGCAGCCCACTAACTATTTGAAGTTAGGTGAAGACAATTCGAATCAATTCAACAGTTGTAGCAAGTAAAAAGACGAATGTGTGGCTCCTGTGATATTACCTGTAAAGTGGCGGTTGATGCGTGCAGCGGAGGCATACCCTAGTTATAGTAAAAGGGCCCATAGAAAATAAAAAAATGGACCGCTGGTTGCCTGGTATCATTCAAGTCAGGCTGCAAGATGTCGACAACCGACGCTGTATATTCAAGAGGTTCTGTAGGAATGAGACCTTTCCAATCGGTTGCTCACCAAAGTCACCAGTTCCTGTAAGTAGTGTTGATGCAGTGATCAGCAAGATAATAAATTTGCTGTTCTCTGAGAATGCCTGTTTGACATAAATGACTAGCCAGTGTCGTGAACGTCACGTGAGCAGATTGCAAGGATTGCGTCATTAATAATAAACTGTTTAAACATAAAGCGCTCGCACACAAGCAAGGCTGAGTGTACTTGTTATACGGTTGATGTGCACAACTGAAGCCGATTGTGGTTATGTGACGATATCGGTTGATCCTGTGGAGGTTAGTTGGATGCAGCGGACTGCATGATAGCACATGAAAGATAAGCAGTCACTCAGCGGAGGAATTCATTACATCTTCTGAGACGGAGGGGCCGGACCTACAGTTGAGTACACAGGTGGATGCGGTTTCGTCGACAACAATGTACTTTCGAAGGTTAGATGAATTACTGCCTCAATTCTGACGCCATCTGTGCCACAACTTAGTGGCCAAGATGTCAGAAACTGAGTGGTTTAAATGATATGGCACCAAAAGAGACCCCACAGAGCACATCCTTGCGATGAGAATCGGGTAAAAACTGATGGTTTAGCACGAACACAGGGTACTTATCAATTCCGCCCCTAGGGACACTGTGGCGACACATGATCAGACGACGTGTGTGATCAAGTTCCGTGCACGAGATCATTCACCATATGCACGTGACCGAGAGGTCAGTAGAAACATGAATATTAAGCTGCTCAATTTTGCGTACGCCCCTCGCTTTCGTTAGCATATCAATCATCGAATTCACTGACTTTCAACTATGATGGTATCGGTCGCTGTGGGTACCCCATGATAAGTTAAGCAAGATTGGAATGCATTTAGATCAAATGGCAAGAAATGTTTATGTGTTATAAAAGATTCCAGCCAGGGTTGTGGATGAATAGATGTTTCCCACTCATGAAGCTGTATTCCACCTTGGCTGTTTTGATACTTATTTACACGAGGCAGGTAGAGAGTGAAGGCCTGTGACGTAGATGTTACCGGCATCGTTCAACAGGTTGGACAGGATCAGAAACACCTCAACTACTGTGCCACAACACAATACAACTACATAGTCGTAAAAATAAAGAAGAAGCGAGCTTGGCAATATGCTCTGCCTTCATTATGCATCGAGGTGATTGCTGTTGAAAAGGGAAACTGCGTGGGATGGAAAGTTGGAAAGAAATTCACAACATGAACGACTGTGAGGTTGCCTTTTGGATAAGTCAGGTCAAAATAAGCATTGCGAAGTAAAAAAAGGTTCATTTTCAGCATTTACACTACCACTGTAGATGTACTAGAAGAGAACAAGGATGAAAAATACACAAGCGGGGATAAAATGAGACACGCACACTTCTCGCACTAGCAACCGCTCGCATACCATGTTTATGGCTTTCGATGGGTGAACAAGTAAGTATGGTAGGTAAGAGAATGCGGAAAATTAAAGCATTAAATTTCAAGGGTGTAGAAGAAATAGATTGATTGCATTTTTAAAAGTTACTGTGTAATGTATAAGGCTGGTCAGTTAGGGCCTAATAAAACAATGCTCGCAGGCTCCACGAGATAACTAGAAGTGAATAGATCAACCACAATCTATAGATAAACTGCTGCATCTAGAAATGTGCCTGTTCAGTTGTGTTAAGAATGTAGTCATTTGAAAGTCAATGGAAGATAACAGGAGAGCAGTATGACAAAGGATGAATAATAAATGGTTACAAAAATGTATATTAAAGTACGGAGTCCGGAAAGTGTCTTAGGCATAAGGACATAAAAGGGAAGTCTTATGGTTAGTGAAACGCCAAAACCGCTGGTGGAACAAGATTTTGAGACAAAAAAGGAGTTGGGACACTTGACAGTGGATATACTTGATGTGAGATTTTCAATTAAAATTGGATGTTTCGTTAACCATTTTGGACGTTTTGTAAACAAAATTAGACCTTTCCTAAACCACACTGGACCTATTCCAACCCAAATTGAGCACTTCGCAAAGCAAAATGGATGTTGAGCAAAGCATATTGGACGTTTGGCAAACCCCATTGGACATTTTGCAAACACAATTGGACACACTGCATGCTACGCAGAAAATCAGCAATTTGTTAGCAAGAAATGAGGACTAAAGAGACTAGACGATGCTCGGAATACATTGTGATCATGCTAATGCAGCTGAAGTGTGTAAGCAGCGGGTGCCACTGCAACCCATTCTTTTGATTGTGAACCTCGATCAAAGGCGGTACCTGAGATTCCCCCTCTCTCTCTCAGCTTTCGAGTAGTTCATGTGACTTCACAACTGGACCTGTGTAGCTGTGTGAATATTGGGCACGTCAGATTCCCGAATCGTGTAGTCGATTATGACTTAAACAAATGATACCAAGCAGATGGGAATTGGATGTCACCCGCCCAAAAATGTTGCAAAGCCACAACGCGTTTCGATGCAATTTCATCTCATCAGTTTGAGATAGCGGGTCTGGAACCCGCAACCATTGGAATAGTAGCCGAAACCTCTACCTATTTGGCTACCGTGTCACGGTGGGCAACGCTTGTCACAACGGTGAATGACTAATTGGAGGGTCAAGTTTGA